GAGGCTTGTTGGCTACCATCACGCAGTAAAGGATAATAATTTGAAGTGTGCTCTATGGAGGAATAAATATGACAGTTTTCGATCACCCCTCCTTGTGGAACAGTTGATGTAACATATTTTATGTTTATATTTAATATTTTATTTTGATTAACAAACACTTTTTATATGCTTCATTTTTATAGTTTTTACCATTTTCTATATATTTGAATAAATTGGACTTATTACAAATAAATGCTTTTGTTTCAAATTTTTGGTTATTTTGACCTTTGACTACTCTTTTGGCCATAACTTTTTCTACAGATATCATTTTTGGCTGATTCTAGTTGCATTGAATTCTACACATCCAGGCCTTCAAAAGGCATATATGGATTGCTAGATTTGAAGTTTTTTTCTATTTTTTATGATTTTTTGAAGTTGAGGCAAATTTGCTGAATATTGTTGCGGGATTGCATTTGCACCATTGTTATTTAATAATTGTATTAGGACTTTTAGATATTATTGAGGCCTGCATTTTGGCCACTTAATTTACCCTAATTAGAACCTATAAATAGACTAATAAGATTCTCACATGCTTGAAGCACAGACTTCAAGAGCAATCTAATTTATGTCTACTCTAACCATTAAGAAACATCAAGATTAGCTTGATAGTTAACATTGTCTTTTTGTAAGAAGCATGTAACTTCTTGTTATTTTGTAATTAATTTTGAAAGGTGTTGTTTGGTGTTGCTTTTGGATATAATGTTGCTTTTGAATGTGGATATAGATCTATAACATTTTTTATCCCTTTTAAATATTAAAATTTATATAAATATAGATATGAATATGAATATTATCTCAATTAGTAGCAACATATTACTATTTTACCATGAACGTGAAAATAGCCTTACAAATTGAGTTAATTTTATTTCATTTATTGCTCAAAATAGTACATAAACCACTTATGTACACTACATCATTGATATATGAACTATTGCTCATGCTACAACTTAAACATATTTTCTACTTCAATAAGTTAATCATGATATCACAATGAAAATAGAGATACATTGGATTATTATACAAAATTTCAATGCTCTAAACTTTAACTTCTAAACTTGTAATCTTCAACGATTTGCATATTTTACCATGATGTTGTCTGCTATTGTTACATCATTAACTCAACAAAATTATTCATAATAACCAATAACTTGAAAAAAAATATATGATTTATGTTTCATTATCTTGTAATTTTATTCTCAGTAAAATAATTTATCAAAATTCATTAACCTCACGTTGTCCCTATTATTGTAATTAGGGCATTTGAAGAACAATTTACTTGGATTTGTACTAGTTCTTGACCTTTTAACAACAAAAGGTAAGGCACAATAACATATTTTAAAATAAGATTTCTTGCAACGAATATAAGAATTAGCTCAATATTGCTTCTGAAAAAATAATATATATTTTCATTACTGGCCATCTACAAATAAGACAAATAGCCTTGAAGGAAGAAGGAAGGAACTTACGCAATGTGAGAAGAAGTTAGGGTTCAACTTGGAGTTTTGAGAAGAAGAAGTTAGGGTCAACTTGGGGTTTTCAAAAGAAGGAACTTACCCATGAAAAGAAGCTACGAAATGACACTATTTTAAATCCACTTGGATGCCTACATATCACTTAACACGACAAACCAACAATCTATTATATATTTTCAATGTCTCATAACATTAGAGACTTAAGTGATCAATGCTTGTTATTTTTGGAAACTATGTTTTTAAATTTTTTATTTGGGAGACTAACTTCAGTCACATTGCATATTTCAAGGACTAAACTAGAGATTTACTTGAAAATATTCAAATGAACAAAATGATTCTTTTACATGTAAGTTATCCAATCTCAATACTTCACCTTGTGAACAAAAACAATGTGAGACAAAACACTCAATATTTCATGTTGAAAAAGTGAATGGTTTTCATATTGATCCAAATCCTAGATTATGGCTAATAATTGAGAGTATTCTATAAATCAAGAAAATAAAATTCATCGTACTCATATCAAGTGTGGTCTATGTCAACATGTTATTAAAAAATTTCTTTATCAAATAATGATCATCCTCATCATTTTCAAACTTCTTCGTTTGAATTATGTTTTGATGTGATCTAGTTTGAGCACCCAACAGAGGCAAGAGAATTGAAGACGTTCCATGGACCTATTACCAGGACTAAGGCCAAGAAGGCCTAATAGAGCTTAACCACTCTTGTAGTACATTTAGAGGCCAATCACATGGAGACCATAGGATCACACATGTATACATTTTTTACTTACATTGTTTATGTTTAGAATAGAATTTTGGGCCTTGTATTTTGGCAGTAGACCTAGGCAACCCATTGGACTTAGGAGTGGAGTGTCTTGTATTTTGTTTGAACTTGTATTAGGTCATGTTTCAGGACATGTATTTAGCTTAATCTTCATCCCCTTATTGCTTGTTGTTTATGGCCCATTAGAGATATACTTATGCCTTGAGTTAGCTTGTCTATATATAAGTTAAGCCCCTTGTAAAATTTAGATTGAAATTCGTTTGTCTAGATTTCACACTTGTTGTGAGTTTTAAGTTATCTAAGAATTCTCTCTAGAATTCTCTAGAATCCTCTTCTCTTATCATGGATTCCTCCATGTGGTGAGGCAAATAGGCTTATCCCTACTCCTTTAGGGTGGTGTCATTCAAGTGTAATCACCTTTTTTCTCCTCCACTTTTTGAATTCTTCTTCTCCTTCTTTTTGGTTCCCTCCAATTCAAGATCTATCCCATCCAACTTTACATCATTTGGTTCAATTTTTTTAGACCTACACAAGTAAGGAATTACTACTAATCCTTTTGAAGATCCGTTTTATAGGACATTCTTGAAAAATGCTTCAAGAAACTTAACATGTTCTTTTTAGTTTGGATTATTCTCATTAGAAAGATGCTATATTTTGTTTGCCATGGTACTTATTTGGTAAACAAGCTTTTAATCAACCAAGTTTAAATGCCTTTAATGAAAAAAAAAAGAGCTATAATAATTGGAAGAAAGAAAATAATGAAAAAAAATTATCCACTTTTAAATCATGTTGGAAAAAGACATTGTTAGTATTTTTGTACAATTTAATTATTGGTGATTAATTTTATAAAGTGTCATCATCTGAGTGAACTTTCATAAGTGATTATTTTAAGTTTTTTTATTGTGTTACTTTATATTTTATATAAATATTAATAATTCTAAACCATCTAATTATTAATTAAGTTTAATATATTAATTTTAAAATATTTTAATTTTTATTTGTTTCCTTAAAATAGTAGGTATAGTTTTATCCTTACTTGTCACTACAAATATAATTTTATCAAACAACGTGAATCTTTCTACTATGTGTGATATTATTCACCAAAAAATAGATTTAGGAAAAAAGGGAAAAGAAAGAAGAGGCTTTTAAAAAAAAATTTATGCTTAAATTTTTTTAAAAATAATAAAAAGTATTGGCAAATTTTAGATCCCTTTTAGAATTATTTTTTATTTTTTAAAATTTTCTTATTTTAAGATTCAAATAAAAGAAGAATTGAACTTCTTTCTCTCTGGTTATTAACTCTTAAACTCTTTTTATTTTATTTTTTCTAAACTTTTAAAGAAAACTTTAATATTTTGTTTTTCTCTTTTCAAACTCTCTTACAAAGTTTAAAATTTTAAGAATAAAGAGATAGAATAAAAAGAAAGAGAGAAGAGAGAAAGATAAGGGTTTAATATAGAAAAAATTGTACTTTAAGAAAACTTAAAAATATGAATTTATAAAAATTTTATAAAAAAATATTCTCGTATTTGAAAACTAATATATAAGAGTTATTACTGAATAAATATTTATTTTTTTTGTAAAGTTAATTATCAAATAAATTTTTATTTTTATTTTTTATTTTATTTTAATTTTTTGATTTTGAATATGAACTTTAAATATTTAAGTTTAGAGGTATAGTAAAAAAAAAATTGATATATTTTGCAAGATTTTTACAAAATGTGATTTTAGGATATTTAAAAAAATTTAAATTTTTGATATGTTTACGATTTTATTTGCAAATTTTAAGTAAAATATAATTTAACTTATTCATTTTTTAAAATATTTTAATTAAAAATGATAATTTTAAGATCTTAGATAAAAAATTTAATTAAAATTTAATTTATTTAATTTTAAAAATAATATTTTATTGATCTAATAAATATTTGATTAAATAAATTATATCAAGTTTATACTAGACAAATAAAAATAAAATTAAGGATTAAAAGAATCAATAGTCACCACAAATTAATGAATTGTAGTTTTTTTATTTTTATTTTTATTTAATATTGGTGTAAAATGTTGCAAGTTGACAATTAATTAAAAATGATAAATATGACTTTTAAATTAAAAAAATTAAGGCTAGAAAGAATTATTAGTCTCCACAAAATAACAAATTGTAATTCAAATCATTATTATAATTTAATTTTTATGTATTATTATTGACAAAAATTATGTTAATAATTAATTAAAAATGCGTTAAATATAATTTTTGAACTAATTTTTAAATAATTTCATTAAATTCTATTATTAAAACTGAATATTAATTTTTATTATAAAAATATTTATTATGCTTTTGTAGTTTTAATATTATAAAATATTTTTATTAAAATATTATTAATTTTAGACGCTGAAACTAAAATCAAATTACTATAAAAGTCAGTGCATTCTGATTAAATAACATGCATTGAAATTTACTGTCTGCTCTTATCATAAATTGAATTATTTTTATGCAAAATATATATAAAAAAGATAAAATTTAAAGTAATCTGATTTGCGTAGGGAGGGACAGATGGAAAATGAATGAATTGCCTTATTCAACATTGTATTTGTACGGCAAAATACTCTCTATTTCCAGCTGTTGCTATCTCAATTAAATGTCTTGTCATTATTATTTTATTTATTTATTTATTTATTTATTTTGGTGTAACTCATTGTAATTGGTTAATTATCCTTACCAAAATAAAGTTCCCTTTTTTACCACTCTTCTAAATCTGGGTCGTCTTCTTCTCTTTCACCCACGCCACCCAATTTGATTTTTCTCTCTCATTCTCTTTTCCCTCTACCCAAACACCTCACACACACAACAAAAAACCAAAAAAAATAAAAAATAAAAATGGGGGCGTACAGAGCCGATGATGATTACGATTACCTCTTCAAGGTGGTTCTGATCGGCGACTCGGGTGTTGGCAAATCGAACCTTCTCTCTCGCTTCACAAGGAACGAGTTCAGCCTCGAATCTAAGTCCACCATTGGCGTTGAGTTCGCCACCAGAAGCATTCGCGTCGACGATAAGGTTGTCAAGGCTCAGATTTGGGACACTGCTGGTCAAGAAAGGTGAACACCCTTTTCTTTTTCATTTTTCCTTTTTTATTTTTTTATTTTTTTATTGTTATTTTTATAGGTTGATTTTATTTTTGCATTTTTAATTATTTTTATCAATGAAAATGAGTGTTGTCCTGTTATGTGGTTGTTTAAGGATTTTAAGCTGCTTTTGTTTTTCATGCACCGTTTGTGCTGATTGATAATTGGAGTGGGGGACAGTAAAAGAGGAATGAGGAAAATGTTGTTGTACTTTTGATGTTTGAGTTTTTCCTTTGCAGAAGCCGTTGTGTTGTTATTTTATTATTGGACCTGCCCTTGTTGTTTTACAATGAAATGTAAAATCATGGTATTGAGCTTCTTGGTGAAATGAACAGAATTGTCTTTTAGTTGTTCCTGTTGATCACCTTTTAATGTTAAGTTCGATTCGCGATTATTTTGTTAATGTTTGATGTTTCTGACGAATTAGTTATAGAAACTCGGTTATGTGGGAAATCCGATGGTAGGCGGGAGGCGGCTTTAAATAAACTTGAATTGGTTTCCTACTAATGAAATTGGAGTACGAGGAAAGTGTTTAACCAAAATATCAGGTTAAAAGACTATTTTGTGCCATTAGAACCTATTAAAATCTCAAATCATCTGGATATATGACAAAGTGCCCCTTATAATGACTTGGGAAATCCTTCCCTTTGAAGTTTGAACAAGCTTTTGGGGTAAAGTTAGGTTCAATCTATTATCAATTTTAGTATAATCGATTTTCTATATTATGTTTAACTCTGGCATCTCTTGGCATCAAATGCCAACATGATTCCATGTTAGCTTTCTTTTACTGCATGTTTTGTTGTTAACTATCCTTTGCATCCAAAAATCATGCTTGGTTTCGTAAATAATGCGAAGTTTTACTTCAAAATAGACTAAAGAGAACATGTTCCGTTCTGATTTTCTTTTTGCTATAAAGTTGGTACTCATGACTTTCTTTGAACTTCATTTTCTATCCTAGATACCAGCTGTTTGAGGAACTTGATATTTTTGTTTGGTCTTAAAGGAAAACCAATATGAAAGATATTTATCGGTTGAATGTATGAGAAAGTGTAGAAAGAAATTTACAATGGATGGCATGTCATTCATCACTAAGATGTGAAGATTTTTTTCCTTTCATTTATGTCAACATGCTAATGTTATGGTGATAGCACAACGATTATAGAGTTGCTGGTAAATAGTTGGGGGAATTACATTAACTGAATGATGGAAGAAATTAAGACAACTGGCTAATGTTATTATGACTAAAAATACCTGAATTTTTTCATAAAATGACGTCTGAAAAGAAAGTTAATACTGTGATGTTGTTGACAAACTAGTTAGCTGAATAGTTCTAGATGCCGCGGAGGATCTGGCAGCTAGCTCCTCAATATGGTTTCTTTCTAGTGAAACAGTAATTCAGCGGAAACTGTTGATAGAGAAGTAGAATAAGGCGCACCTGAAAGAGATGGCACGTGAGAATGGATTTTAAGTTAGATAGCACTTTGAGAACATGTAGATTGGCTCCCAATGGGTCTAGTGGTGGTGGTTTTGGCTGGAAAAATTGCCAGAAAATTTTCTAGCAGTAGCAGATAGGGGCAACCATGGCTGGGAAAAGGTATTCAGAACACAGGAAAGACAACACAGCATTCAGAATCCAGAGTGGGAACACAGTGGACCCAATGTCCACTGGTAGGCAGGGAATATAGTTTGCCTCTCATCAGGCTTAGATACTACGTTGAGAGAGAAGAAAATGAGAGAGCAGATGAATGAATCCGTGTGTCAATTACACAGTGGAGCATACACACACACATACAAGGATTCATAATTACTAATTACCGTCGTTTCATGATATCCCTAATTACATTACAACCTATAATTACTTTGTTTACATCATTTCCAAGAGAAATTGGCAAGACTTGTATTTCCTTTTTTTGGTATGACATTCTGTTCCACCAGAATTTATTTTTAATGCTAGTTTAATGCCTTTGACAATGCTGCTTTATTTGGAAAATGAACAGTTCTTTGAGCCATACTGTTTCCTTTTCAAACCAACCGCTTTCTTTCCATGGAAACTGATTCTATGTGCCTAGTCTTGGAGACAAAAAATATAACAAGAAGGATAAACATAATGCTTGAGGAGGGATGATTTAAAGGGGAGAGTACGCACTGTAAGCTATAGATAAAATAAAACTGAATAAACTAAGGTTTATCTTATATTCCTTTTCTGGGAATCACATTGAATATAATTTAGCTTCCTCCTTAGGTTGGTCTATAATTAAAATATTAAATGCCATAATATTGTGTGTATCATATAATGAAACTGTGTTGATATGCAAGTGAGCTAGTAGTTGATTCAGAAATCCCAACAAGAATCTTGTAAAGTAACATGTTCCATGTCAATAATGGTCTGCCGTGCTGTATCTTAGTTTTCTCTTAATTCATTTGCTGAAGGTACCGAGCAATTACAAGTGCATATTATCGAGGAGCTGTCGGTGCTTTACTAGTCTATGATGTTACCCGCCATGTTACATTTGAAAACGTGGAGAGATGGCTAAAAGAGCTGCGAGATCACACAGATGCCAACATTGTGGTGATGCTTGTAGGGAACAAAGCAGACCTGCGTCATTTGCGAGCAGTTTCCACCGAAGATGCTACTACTTTTGCGGAACGGGAGAACACATTTTTCATGGAAACATCTGCCCTTGAGTCCATGAATGTTGAAAATGCCTTCACAGAAGTGCTCACACAGATCTATCATGTTGTAAGCAAGAAGGCCCTTGAGATTGGAGATGATCCAGCTGCTTTACCGAAAGGACAAACAATTAATGTTGGATCCCGTGATGATGTATCAGCTGTGAAGAAAGCTGGATGTTGTTCCGCTTGAGTACGTAGTTAAAGACATTCTCTGTATTTTTACTTTAAATCCATGCCCTGTTCATACCATGTAGAGATTGGCCTGACAGCATGAAGGTGTTTGTTTAGGGAGCATCAAACTTCAAAGTTTCTGCTTTGTTCTGTACTGTAGAGAATTCTGTTCAAATTAGCCACATTTTAGGAAACATGCACATTCATTTTGCATCATTCCTATTTTTTGTGCCATTATAAGATATTTATTTATATATTTTCAAGTTTATCACGTGTGTTCCTAGTCTTTGTCCTACTTCTATTCGTTTTCATCTATGCTTGTTCTTGACAAAACAGATTGTTCAATCTGATTCTTTTCCTGCTTAGTGCTTTGCATCTTTCTTCCTGTCATAGTGAAGAGAATGTTCTTTTCACCATTTCTAATACAAACTTTCGATTCCACCCAAAAAAAAAAAATACAAACTTTCAAAAACAAGAATCAAATAAATAAAAAAACATTTTTGTAAATAGAAAATATTTTCTCAAATTAAGCAGCATCTAAAGTCATTGTTTTCTCTTCCCTTATGGAACACATTAGCTGTCTGGTACCGTTATGATACCTTATATAAATTAGGAAAAACTTAGATTTTGTTCTTGGCTTACCAAAAGCGTTAACGCTTTTCCTTAAGCTAATGATGATACTGCTAATTGGATTTGGTTTTTTAAACTTTTTAATTGTTTTGGTTCTTGAAAGGCTGAAAAGACACTTTTTTATTGACATAACAAAGTGTAATGCTTTCATCGGTTAAGATTATGATTGAGAACTATGTCATGTTAGGCGACAATAAAAAGGTCCGTTGTTTGTAGTCTCTTCTTTTTTGGCCCAAGATTCAATACAAGCAATGTTATCAATAGTAAATGACGGGTCATGACAGAAATCTAAAAAAATACCATAAAATTATGGTGACTGCCATGACAGGTTATGATAGATATAATAAAATATATTATAGGTTATAGGAAATAATAGAATAGAATTAACTCAAAATATATGTAGCATAAACTATAATACAAAACATAATTTAATATAAAATATGCAATCATCAAATATCAAGTTGACAATAAAAACAATTTAATCTAGTCCTCTTTTTCAACTTCAATGTAATCATTTTTTTTCTCATCCAAAGCATATCCTTCTCCTCTTCTTCCTTAGATTCTGGAAGATTAATTTGTAATTCATCTTCTCTTTCTTCCGATATCTCTTCATCTTCTAATTCTTTAGCATCATCGTTATCTTTAATTACCATTTTTTCTTTCCTTTTTGATGTTGAACATGCATTGATCTTGAAAATTTTTGTAGCTTTGATAGTAATATCACTTGATAGACTCTTTCTTTTCTTAGAATGATACCTAGTATATGTTTTAGGCTCTCCTAATCTAGAAGTTTCATAAATAGTTGTCTAATTTAAAGTGTCATCACCATAAAAAACTAAATTATTTCCAGCATTCTCATCATGAGCATCGTTATATATCTCTCCAACCGACTACTCATTATACTCATCAATGTCATTGAGTGTAATTGGATCAATTACATTTTTAAGATTGTAACATTCTTTGAGTTATTGGTTATATTTTACATTAAACCAAGTCATGTAATTTTTTATTATCAAGCCTATTCCTCTTCTTTGAATGAATCTACAACAATAATTAAAAAAGTAGTAATTAGTTTCTTTCTAATTTCTAGAAAAAAAGTACTAGACTTGAGAAATGATAAATTACTTGCTCAAAAATACTCCAAGTGCATTCATATCCAGATGCACTATATGTCAAGCTTAAAATTTTCATAGCTAGTTATTGCAAATGTGGAGTTGAATGTCAATACATTATCCACCATTGAGCTATAAAATTAAAGATAAATCATAACTCTAAAGGTAAGATCTTAATATCAAGAGCAATGCTTTTTCTTTGTGATTTTGCAGAGTTGGACCCAAAGAGACCACCACCACTCTTATAAATTGGTAATTTAAGTAGTATATTTTGTTGCACATCTCGACTTAGCATCAATCTCTTAATACAATCATACAACTCATTCGTAACCTCCAAATCAAATTCCATTTGAGAGTTGTCATAATAGAATTTCGAGTTTAAAATATGACCAGCTGCATGTAATGGACGATGAAGCTGTCAAGTCCATCTACTATTAATGATTGCAAATAAATCTTTGTATTTGCTTTCATTATTGTTGAAAGACCTCATAATAGTTTCTTTACATTTTTCCATTGTTTCATAAATATACTATATGGCTGGTCTTCTTTCCCCATCCACCAAACGTAACACTCGTACAAGAAGAGTCATGATTTTCAAAGTATATACCATATTATTCCAAAATACAAGATTTAATACAATTTTTGTTGCTTGCTTTCCTTTAGGTTCTTTTGACAATTTATTTTTACATCACTTCTCAGAAGTAGACATCTTTCTAAGATTTGCTTTTTCTTGATGAAGTCTTTGTAATGATAAAAAAGAAGTTGTAAATCTAGTAATTGTATGTCTTACCAATTTTCTCTTATTTATAAAATTTTTCAACAAACTCAAGGTACTTCAATGACTATAGATAAAGTCAACAACAGATATTCTCCTTTGAATTGTCTTCTTTATCAAGCAAAGCTTTCCAAAATCTTCAAGCATAAGATATATGTAATGAGCTGCACAAGGAGTCCAATAAAGATGTGGTCATTTTGCTTCCAACATCTTACCAGTCAAGACATAATTGCTTCCATTATCCATTATCCCTTACATAACTTTATCTTCTCTAATCTCCTCCATAAGAGCATCAAGCATCTCAAATATTTTTTTGCAGTCTTCACAAAATTAGATCCATCAATGGATCCCACAAACATAGTCCCAGCAAGAGAGTTGACCAAGAAATTAATCAAACATCTTTGTTTTCGACCGGTCCATGCATCTAACATAATGGAACAACCAACTTTGCTCCATTGCTTCATATGATTTTTCATGAGAGAATCAGTATATTCTAGCTCTTTCTTAAGAAGTGGAACTCAAATATCATGATAACTTAGAGTTGGTAAATTTGAACCAAAAGCACCAACAGCTGTAAGCATTTCTTGAAAGTTTTTCATTTTAACAAGGTTAAAGAAAAGGCTAGCTTGATACCAAAATCGAGCTATGCATCGATGAACTCTGCCTTGGCTTCTTTGTCAAAAACTTCTCTAATATTTGCTTATCTCAATTTTAACTTTTTTCTTTTCTCAATCACACTTTCTAGCTTTCTACAAAACAAATCCATTGGCCTTTTCTAATTACTCATGGCAATACTATGTGTTTGAGTATCCTCCTCATCCTCACTTTCATCATAGCTTATATTTTTAAAGTTTCTCACATTTGGCATCTCAAAGTTGTTTTGACTCTTTTTATCCTTTTGATATGTTTCAATGTCTTTTTTAACTTCTTTTGGATACTTGGGGCAAACTTTCACGTTACCCTTCTTTCCAATCAAATGTTGTGTCTCTCTAGTGATTGCAGCACTCATAACTTTTTTACAAAAGTTACCTACAGTATTGTTTGTATCACTCTCTTTCAACAAATGAGCATATTTCCATCTTGGGTCAGAACAATTAGAAGCTCTTGAAAAATTTGATAAGGATTCTTGTTGAGCCATGTTAAGAGAAGCTAAAATAAGGGGAAAAATTTGAGAAAAAACAAAGAAAAAACAAACATGTAGGAGAGGAAAAAATTGAAAGATGGAAAGGGTAAAACTAAAATGAGAAAAATTAAAAAAAAATTACAAAAGAGGGAAAAACGAAAAAAATGACTACTGAAAAAAATGGAGTCGCCAAAGATAGAGGACCAGTTGCCAAAAATGGAGGTTGAGATTGTGGGAGATGGAGGAGAAGTCGCTGGAGATGGAGAACAGAACAATGGCACCCAACAGAACAAATAACAGATAGGAGAAAAGAGAGATCTGAGATGAGTGTAGAACAACGTCGGAGAAGATAGAGATTGGAGAAGAGGAGTGCAGAACGTGCTCAAAGACGAGAGATAAATTAGAGATGAGAAAGATCAGAGAAAAGAGAGATCTAAGATGAGGGGGAAGGGTTTTTGAATGACGAAGAGGTAAGTTTTCCTGCGCGGGTCAACCTCTGGATTGGGTTGAATTTGGGCCCAACCCATGAAAAACGTCATTTTTCAAGGTTTTCTGCTATGGTCGTTGTTAGTGCCATGCGCGTAACATCCACCATGGTGTCGCCTGCAGAAGAGCCAAAAAACTAAAACACTGTAACAGCAAGGTTAAAAACTGCCATTGAAATCTGCCACGGCGTTGTCATGGCCGTCATTTAACAACACTAGATACAAGTAATATGTTTAAAAGGATATATTAGTAAATTCAAGATTTGATCATTGTGGAATCTCTCCTGCACCCATGGACTGGCCAAATGAGCATAGTAGCAAATTTGGACAATGTAGGCACAACAATTTACACTAAAAAAATATTAAAAACAATAACAAAAATAGACAACGTTCATCAATAGTAGAATAGTTTTTGCATTTTTGTTTTGGGCCCTTTGTATGACGTTGCAGTCCTTGAAATAATTATGTAAGGAGTTTTAGAAAGTAAAATATTTAAAATTGTCAAACAATTCTTTCTACTAACAAACTGAAATTGAAAGTGGACATTCTACCTGGGTTGAAGGTGAAAACCGATTTAGAAGGTTTTGAATGTTGCAAACACAATATTTAAATTTATCAATTAATGTCTTGTACATCATTTTTCATGACAAATTGATGTAAGAAGTGTACATATTCTACATGGTTAGAGGGGAGAAAAGATGTAGAAAGTTCAAATCAGACTTTTTACATAAGTTTGACGTAAAAACCGTTCTTGAAAGTGTTTACACTAATGGTGGTCAAATTTGAACTTTTAAGACGATACTTTACCGTTTGTGTGTGAAGAGGAACGACAATTTCTTGGCTTTGTCAGAGGTCTTTCCTTTTCTGTTGAGATTTTTTTTAGTCATATCTCAATGTGTTTTTTGTTATACAGATTAAAACTCAGTTTTAATTGATAAGGCAGTGCATGCGATTTATAGAAAATTGTGGAGGAAGCCACGGAGGAAAACAAGAAAAGACTCTGAGTTTCAATTTTGACATTAGCAACAACGACTTTCTTCTTCTTGAAAAATAAGGTTTTCATAACTAAATTGCAGAATAAATAAATGAATTGAACAAAATCATTGTCAAGAACAGGATAAGCAATGCTCTTATAGCAATATGTGCCTTGGTGGAGAGGCTATTAAAACTAACCTTCTTGATCATAAGGTCAGACATCTCATCGAAGAAAGGATTTGTTAACGTGACCATAAAACAATTTTTTTTATAATTTTATCCTTCAAACCAGCTGCCAAAATTAGTTTTGTACCAAGTTCAGTCATTTTTTCAACACTTAATTCTAGGTGTTACTTTACTACTAAATTATATCAACAGTTGTCAAGAATTCAATTTTTGATTTTGAAGAAGCTTTACTTTCACTAAACCCTTAAAGCTCAGCTACTTGCACACACTTTTTACATATTCTGGTAATGTTTCAATATTTTGGTTTTGTCCAACGGTATTTTCATTAAGTACACATTAAAAATATTTATTATCTTAAAATTATTAAAGCATTTGTTTCTTGACATGTGCCCTTAAATATCACTTAATTAAAAATTCATAAATTCTAATGTATTGATGACATTAAATGCTATAATTTTTAATTAAAAAAACTATTATATATTATTTTTTTATTACATACTCTTATACACTTGTTAAAAAAATTATAAATATTTTTCGCAGCATCCCTTCTTTCTCTCGCCTCATCAAATTAATTAAACTCAATAAAGTAATATCATTTGAATGTTACTTCTATGTAACTACATCTTTAACAGGGTATCTCTGGTTTTGAGAAAAAATATCTGCCACCTGGAGATAGAATTTCTTCTGCAAGCAATGTAATAAATAATGTAAGGAGACATGAAAACTGAATATAAAATTTAGAGTGAAAAAAATCATTAAATTTTACCTATTTGCTCTGATTCATAATTGCATAAATTCATATTGAATTTCTAAAGCTTTTAAAAGAAAACTTTTACTTTAAAGATTAAAATAATTTGTTAAGATTTCATGTGGTATCCATGACATTTTAGTGTCCAAGGCGCAAAAGCTTACAGTTTAGGCCCTTGAAGTAGGCATTTTACAACCATGTGAGCATTTGAGTGTTTGTGACAATTTTAAGCTTAAAACGGGTAGTGCTAGAGAGTAACTCCGAAAGCGAAAGCATAGCATTTTTCATTCGGGAAATTAGAAATACCGTCAGTAAAACTGATAAAATGATATTTATAATTTGAATTTTGTTGACAAAAATCGACATCCAATATTTTAATAGCTGTGGAAATTTAACCCTTCAGAAGCTGCACTAATGATGGATTAGGCTGCAAAATTTTTATTAAGAAAATGAGGGCTCTGTTTATCATGCCAGACAAGTAAAGCATTTGATGTCGTCTTTGAATACCAATTCATAAATTGACAAAAAAAAAATATTAACTCATGAGTTTGGAAAGGCCCACACCATGATTGGAGTTAAAATTTGTCTCTTGGTACTTTTTATGCTATTAATCAATATTTTACACAGAATTAACTACAAATTTTAATACTCATTCAACAACCCCAAAAATGGACAAAACTTAGGAGTGCAATTGGCTTTTGATGTGTTCTCTGATCAAGATTGAAGTTTCACCTTATGTGTCGACCTTTATCACGGGGATTATTAAGGCAAAATTCTAATCTTGGTTAGAGGATAATACCAAAAACATGTATAACACCGTACCTAAATTCTGTACTTCTCATAATTGCTTGGCATATAATTTTCATGAACAAAAGTAGCATGAATGCATGATAAATTTGGTTCCCAAGAGAAATGAGCCTTGGAGTAAAAAATATCAATAACTAATGTTCATGTCAGCAAATGTGATCGCCTAAAGTTTAAACTTAAAAGAGGGTTCAAAATAAAAATTATATTCTACTTTCACTTAAAAAAATTTAACTTTTACAGTTTACAGTTGAAAAAAAATAAAAAAGACCTTTTAATTCCTCACAACTTACTCAACTATTTAACTTCTGTAAACTTAAAACTTTATTTAATTTTAAAATTTTACTATTCTTAATATTAAAACTCATGAAGAATTTTAATTTTTTTCAAAAAAATAAACAGATATTAAATTTGTCAAATCTACATATTATTATCTAAATATTTTAATCACTTATAGAATTTTTTCCAGTCCCGATAACTAAAAAAATTTTTAGAGTTAAAGTTAATCAAAACTTGCCTAAAATCATCAATGTCACAAGAACAGTTAAATGGTCTCACAATTTTATCAATCGATAAAAAAATTTTAAAAAACATTGATGTTAATGTTATCATTAATGATTTTGCATATTAGAATGCTCATAAAACTCATTTTTTATGATTTTTTGTATTTTCATAGTTAATTATAAGATAGAAATTGTTTGATCAAAAGAACATTTTTTTTATAATTTTATTAGAAAAATTATAGCCACTTAAAAACAATTTATTATTTTAATAAAATTAATAATATAAACTTTTATTTTGTTTATTATATTTTATAATTTTTTTAAAGGGCCATAATTTCCTATTTCACCTAGAGTCCCAAAAAATGTCAAGCTCTGCTCATGCTTCCTGCAAAATTTTCAATAATAAAGTATTTACATGCATGCACATATATATAAAAGTTTCTTATAAACAAATGAAAAACTGATGATGATAAAGGGTAAAAAAGAAAAAGGTTTCCTAGGCCATGTGTATATGTATAATCAAGATGTCAAGCCACGCCAATAAGGAAATAATGGCATTACATGTTACCAACGCGGAATGGATATAATATGCAATATAAAGCTAAATGGACAGAGTTAATAAAAAGATTCCTCCACCAAATTGGAGTACTAGGTTCATACAGCATCCCCCAGAAAATTTACTTGCGCGCTTCAACCTTCTTCTGTTCTTTGGCTGAAACAATTTTTGTTATCAGTTTCAACTTTCAAGATTCAGGGTATCACCAAAGAGTACACAGACCAAATAGTATTAAAAACTTACCAGCTTTCTCTTCTTCTCTCTTTTTAGCAGCCTCTTCCCTCTGTTGACGTATAAGAGCTAAACGTTCTATACACAAGGAAATAGACTTGTCATGAACCCACTATACCAAAAGCTTAAGGTGTTCTATAAGAACACATGAATAGCTTTGTATCTAACACATTCCCTCATGCAAGAGCCCCTTCGGTTTGAATCATGGATAATTTATAGGCCCACCCTACGTATTGAAATTAAACTTTTATTTAGAACAGCAGAGACAACAAGGATCAAACTCTAAATTACATGGTCATATTAGAGGCTCAGATACCTTGCCATGAACTAATTATTCCAAAAGCTTAAGCTGTTGGGAGAAAGCACATTAACAGTTTTATATCTAACATGACATTAATCATCAACAAATAAAGCCCCAACATCAGAAGTACTTTTAACTTTGATTAGATGGATGATACATTGCACTTGTGGTGTGTTATATCTCTACAAAGCATATTCTATCTACATTAAACCTTTAATAAGAGCATTATTTCAAGAGTCATTAGTACCTAAATCCTTTCTGGCTTGTTCTGTTTTTCCTTGCTCTTGCAGCCTCATATAGCGCTCATGAGCTCTCTGTTTCTCTATCTCCTCTCTGAAAACAGGTGGAATTTTTAAGATATTAGAAAAGCCGGTTAACATAGAAGCTTCACCTTCAATATATTGTCATTTTATTCTTGGAACAAATATTTTGTAAGTTTAGAACTGAAGGAATAAGATGAAAAAAAGCACATGGCAATCCTTTAACTATAATACACCCTCTTCAACTGTGTGACTATCACTGTAAACAATAAACAAATGAAATGAGGCATACCTTTCACGCCTTGAAAGCTCAGTAGTTTTCCCAACCTGCAGAGGGAAGGAAATAGCATTATTTTTTTCATTTAATTTAATTACTAGAAATATGTCTAAGAAAGGACAAAAATGGGAAGATTAACTCACATCAACATCTCTAGCTTTCAAATTCTTCGGCTTTACCAAGTTAGGGTTTTCAATCTCAATAACCCCTTGAATACCTTTTGTCTTCTGTGGACATTATATAGCAACAATACAGTCAATTTCATATTGATGAAGGTAGATCATGGAAACAAATGAAATAAAACCAAAAGAAGCAAAACTTCAAAACAAAGGGGGAAAATAACAACCCCCTATATGAATAAATTATTATAGAAAACTAACAGTGGTTTCATCTTCAGGTTCTTCTTCAGATCCATCCCCAGAGACCTCATCCGTTACCTCCTCTTCATGCTCAGCTTCTTTCTGAAAAGGTCACAGAAAAAATGAGTGTGTTAAATAAAATTGATATATAAAACATCTAACTAAAATGGTAAACAACTTAAAAAGAACAAAGTATGGATAAAAATGAATTGTCACCAAAGGATACCAAACCAGATCCCAGAAACCCTGTAGAGAAGTGCAGTTTAATCCTTCGGCCAAAACTTATTAAACCATATTTTTCTTAAAATTTGGTGATAGAAAAGGTTAAATCTTAACAGCTAAGATCCTCTAGTTCATTTTAAACTACCAGAGGATTCTCCCATCAAAATTCCATATATACAAAGGGTTTAGATATGTTTCTAGTCTTGTGAACACAACACAAATTGGTTTTGGTCAAAGTTAAATTTTGGGTTCATTTTTCAAACACAAGTAATTCAATCATTGCCTTCATCCAAGCATCTGCTAAATCACAGCATAACAAACAATGTCTAAATCACCTCTGCAATATTTCCTTTGTCTCCCATGTGGCAACAATATTTGCCACATATTCCCCACCTAACCATTTTCCATAAACTCTTCCACTTCTTATCTCTATTTCAGTATTTCTCCTTCTACTCCATCAAGTCCTAGCCCCAGAGCCTTTGATTATGGCACTCACAAACCACAAAACAACACCATCAAGCCCTCTGTTCCACAAAAATCTTGCTTTCATTGGAGAGAAACCATTGTTTGCAGAGTATGAAAGGGGAATGAGTGAACCAACCTCAGGTTCAGCACCGGTACCCAAAGTTCAAATCTGTATACATTAAGATATTAATTCAACAACCGTCACAATCTTCTATTCAATGCCTTCTTACTGACCCTAGGCCCTTAATGAAACTAAACGATTACCACATTAAGTTTAACCAAACATAAACTAAAAGGAAGCAACAAAGAAGTTGTTCTGCTCTTGAAACAGGTGGTGAAGAGATGATGGTGCAAGGGCTGGGTGGTTTTGGGTTACCCACAGCTACATCTTGTTTGGGTGATTCAGTGTAGGAACTGTGATGGCTGAGTGTTTGAATGATTCGAGGCATGGGGCATGCCAAAGTTGATTTTCAAAGTTCATTTATCACGTTGGATCAAATTCACTCAACTTTTAAAAATCCGACATGTAATTGAACATAAAATTTAACACGAACCAAATTTAACTTAAAATAGCACATAATTTACAGAAACCAAAACAAGTTTTAAGTGTATCCAAACATTGTTTCTTCTACACTTTATTTTCAAATTGTGTGTTAATAATACTAACATGTTTGTTTGATCCAACAGATTAAAATTTTCCTTACTGAGGTCACACGTGTGTACATGTGAATGAGAGAGAAATAAAGAATTGATGAATGAAGCATGGAAGTAGGAGCCAGAAGATAACCTGTTTAAATGTCCTAGGACGGGTGGAGGTGCCAGCAACTGCAGTAATCATAAGAAACATCAAATTTTCAGAATTGCGTTCTAAACTTTTGCCAAAAAAATTATAATGGTTAATCCATTTTCCAGTTTATCTAAGGTCATGACTAATTTCTCTTTCAACTGTAGTTGCAGCTTGTAGTTTCACAAAAAGGGAATCCACAAAAGTACAACAATAAATTTCACAGGGCAGTAAGCCACAAACAGTAACTGGAAATCAATCAAAATAAGACCGTCAGAAAGCTTCAAACTTGCAGTCCATGCAGATCCAACAGTCCCACACACACAAAAAAAAAATCCTCCATATGAAAATTGAAAACATACCCACAAGCCAAAAAGACATTAAAATTACTCCAATAAATTAAAAAAACAGATATTACAAAATAGAATCTCGGAATTAGGCTCTGAGTGGAGGGAAAAGAAAAACATACCCACCAACCAAAAATACAAAATCAATTGAAGTTCCCTCATCTCAACGCTTATTCATGAGACCAAAGATGTAAAATTTTCAGCAGAAAATGAAAAGGGGTTGATTGAATTGTGCTTACTGAGGTCCTCCGGGGTAGAAAACTGCCGGCGACCGGTGGGCTTGCTCTTGAATTTTCCCCTTCCCATGGTGGAATGTGCAACGTGGGAAAGAACTAAAACCAGAAATTTTTGGTGTTTTCTGCAGTTTATTTGGACAATAGCGATGTGTAAGTCTTAGAAGGAATTGAATTGGACAACGGAGGAGAGAAGGAGGACAAGGGGATGCACTTTATTTAAATCATTTTACTTTATGGAAAACCCTAGTTCAAGAATCTTAGTTTTCAATTGGGATCTGCTTTCGGAGATCGAATCTGGCTTTTATGATTGAAGATTAATCTTTGTGGATATGTCTTTTACTGACAAAAAAATTATTTATTAACCTTAAAAGTACCAAAAATATAATAAATATTACAAAAGCAAAAGGCACTGATCAGACAATTCATGTGTTTAAATTCAATTTTAAAAAGAAAAATTAAAAATTATATTAATTATTATTTTTATCAAAAATTTTATTTAATTTTTTAAGTTAAATTTAACTTTAAAAAGTAATATTTTTAATTAATTAAAATATATTATTAAACACGCAAATTAAATATATATAATTTCTAGTTTAAATTTCATCTTGCTTGATTGAAATTTTAAGTTAAATGAATTGTAACTAATTCAATCCATTAAAAATTTGGTAAACTCAGACAACAATTATGGTAAAAAAAATCATTCTGAATCGTTACTTCATAGAAAATTATTAAATTTAGTATTATTTTTTAAAATCTTAAAAATTAATATTAATATTCTTTTATTATATACATTAAACATACTTTTAAAAAAATTATTTAAAAAAAATACCCTTAAATGTTGAAAGTTTTTTTCATTTCTTTTATTACATCACCATTAGGCACACCCGTCTGGGCACTGTCTCAAAGCATAAAAATCAAAACCCCATCTTTGCCCTTTTGTCAATTACCCTCCCCTCTATTTCAATTTGCCACACTCTCTCTGCGTCGGAAACTTGCGGTTCGTAGTCTTTTCCTCAATCAAATTATCGTTTAGGGCTGTTAATTTTTCGTTTTGTATACGCAATTTCATCTCTTCTTTATTATTCCATTTTCCGGATCGCTTAGGGTTTCGTTTTTTATTCCACTCCCCTTTTTCTTTTTTTTTTCAGTTTTGTGCTTTAATTCAATTTTGATAAACTGTATATTGCATATGGTGCCAACTGGAATGAAGAAGCGACGAGGACGGAGAAAGTTGAGAGCTTTTCGTGCTCCCCCTCGTCGATGTCGTTGATATATGCCTCTCTTGATTACCTTAATTCCTAAATTGTGTGATGCTTGTTAATTGGGTTCAACCTTTCTTTTGTTTACTCTTTTCAGGAAATGGTTTTTATTGCTGTTCACAGTCTACATTGTTAAATTGATTAAAAAAAGTAGTGTTTTTTTCTCCTTTTAATGATGGTGGGATAACCGAAAGTTATAAGAAACACATGTATGGGTATGATAATTTTGTTACGCTTATAACATTCTATTTCATACTTACTTGGCTTGAAATCTTGATGTTGGATAACAAATAGTATTATTTACTTATATAGATAGATGAGAAAAGGGTTACCTATTTGAATTTACTGCTGCAGAGCTTTAATTGGCATGCTGACTGTAAATGCGTAGAATTTTTTGTTTTTTAACTCTTCACTCAAAATTTCGGGTACTTGAATATCTGAAAATCAGGGTTTGAGATATGGGAAAGAGGAAAGCAAAAACAAAGCCTCCTCCAAAGAAACGAATGGATAAGCTTGACACTGTCTTTAGCTGCCCTTTCTGTAATCATGGGTCCAGTGTTGAATGTCGCATGTAAGCAACTTTTTGATTAGTTGTATAGGGATGTAGGGCTTTATGTTTCCCTACATATGTATCCAAAGGCATAGGCCTTTGTTCTCTGAAATCACTTATTAGCCCTTCCATTTTTCTTGTTAGAGATGAATACTCATTTTTATGTTTAATTTTGTGGTTCTTTTGACAGTGATATGAAGAACCTAATAGGGGAAGCTTCTTGCAGGATATGTCAAGAGAGCTTTAGCACTACTGTCACAGGTTTGTTTTCATGGGCTGTGGTTATTCTATTCTTAAAGGAGTAGTTAATTCCACTGGGTACGTAGTTATGGAAATGGGAAGCAGCTAAGATTGCATATAAATAAAATATTTCCTTGATGCTTATGAAAACAAACTTGATAGTTGATACTTGTGATGATCCCACAAGACTTGTTTATCATGAGGTTGTTTGGTTCTGAATTTATTTAATGAAGCTATTGTAGTATGCATTAGCCTTGCAGACCTTTTGTCTCAATCTCGTGCCAATTCGAAAATGGGAAAAAGAAAAAAAGAAGAGATCCATTCATACTTCAAAGAGCTAATAGGCTATGGTCTTATAAACAATTTGGGCTGTTTGGCTAAGCATCGTAAAATATTATTCTCTTCTTTGTGGCCTTCAGAAGAAAATGAGAGTGAATTTTTTTCCCTTTAGTATGTTGGTTGAAAAGTGCTGTTTTCTTTAATATTATTATACTGAGCTGGAAAGTAAGTTATTTGATGTCTTATATATCTGAGAGACATACTTTGTAGATTTAGCTAATAATATTTTATTTTTGTTTTCTTTTCAGCTTTATCTGAGCCAATAGACATGTAAGTTCAATCAATCACTATGTTGATAACGTCCTCTTCCATCTCTCTCTCCCCCCCCCCCCCCCCTCTCACAGACACACACGCACACACATACACACAATCATGTGACTTAAGTAGCTTAATTGCAATGATGCAGATACAGTGAATGGATTGATGAATGTGAACGTGTGAACAACCTAGAAGATGATGGTACTTAGTGATTGTAAGAATCCACGTGGTAGTGAATAGAATAACTGTCGATCTAGCATGTAATTATATAAAGATCCTGTTGCTCGCACTGGTGCAACTACAAGCTTACTTCCTATGTACTCTCTTAGTAGATTGTGATGCATATACACAAGAACACGGGAATAATTGTGTCTATTTAGATGAATCACTTTGATAGGAAGTCGATATGTAAGCCATATTTCAGTTTGTTATTGCTGTATGTGTAGTAGCATATGTAAAGATGAAAGCTCTTAGATTTTTTCCTCTGGAAGTTTCCTTGAGAAAGGGGTCTGACTTGGTGAATTTCGTGAAACATTCGCAGTTTTCTCCTTTTCTGTTGATTTTCTAGGAACAAGATAATACTAAGTTTGCAACTAATAGACATTTTACTGGTACAAAAAGTAACAATAATGAGTTGAAACTAGTTGTTAACATTTATCCTGAGGCGGATCAATGAATCAGTTGTTATTTACCGTCAATCCAAAATAGAAAAAGGTTTTGACTTGTCTTAAGATCTTATTACTTTTTATCAGCTTTGGGTGGTGTTATGTTATTAACCTTTCACTCGGTCATCAACTCAGTTGAGGTACTGAATTGCTAGTCCATTATGTAATTGATAAATACGTCACAGTTTCAAATATCACTGATGAAGGTTCATGCCAAATATTATAAAAAACCAGTTCAACTGATTTAAGTTGACATCAGTTTCATACAAGATCAACTCAGTTATAATTAATTCAATTTGATTTATGCCAAATTAATTATACAATTGATCTAATAATTCACTCAGGCTGACTGTTTCGTTGGGATCATTGATCTAAGGAGTCGCTTTTTGCACTCTTCTTTTTTCTTTTCACACTATAAAAAAAAAAGTTAATTTTGTTTTCTATTTGTAACATCTTTCTCAATGAGAAAATAAGTTTTTTCATTATTTTTAATTTTAGTGCGAATTTTTTAAAAAAAATAGTTAATAATTATAAAATCTTAGTTCCAAAAATTGATTTTTGAAAATAGTTGATAATTTCATAAATTAAATTTTAAAAGTGTAAAATCTTAATTCTGGAAACTCATTTCCAAAAATAATTAATAATTTTAAAAAATAAATTTTAAAAGTGTGAAAACAAAAATTTGGAAATCAATTTAATTTTTAAAAAATTTAAAAATGTAGAATCCTAATTCTAGAAATTTATTTTGGAAAAACAATAATAAATTTAAAAGTCAATTATGAAAGTGCAAAAGTCAAATTTTAAAAATTAATTTTCAAAATGTAGAATCTTAATTTCAAAAACTTGTTCTTAAAAAGTGTCGAAGTTGTTAGGTCGATAAAAACATAATTTTTAAAGTAAATTAAGTTTTTTATTATATTTCAATACAATTAACGTAGCTGAAGAATAATAATGCTTTAAAATACAGTTGAAAAAGGTTACGATAGAAAAATAACAAAGATTAAAATAGTAAAGAGAAAAAAATAATATAATAGAAATGAAAAGTGAAAATAAAAAAAATATTCTAAAATTTGAAATAAATAAATAAACTTATTAATTATTTATCCATAAAGTTTTTTATTTTTATCTAATTATTTAAATTTTTATTAGGAATAATTTTTTAAAAATTATAAAAAATTTATGGTGGCATAAAAAAAAGAAAAAGGAGGTGCGGAAAGCAACCCCGTTAAGGGTGTACAAGACCCGTCCTATCGCATTAATCCGTCCTGACTTGATGTTGGTTTTCACGGGTTTGAGTTTTCAAAATTAAACCCATATTTTGAAGAATTAAATCCTAACATTGTTTCTTTTCTTTTAAAAATATTTATTTTTTCAAACAATGATTTATTAGTAATAAAATGTTAAGATTCAATAAATAATATTTTGCATATAATATTACTTTGACTTTAATTTTATAATTGAACCTTTTTTTTGTCTGATATGATTTAGCTATATATAATATTAAAATTGATATATGTTGTTCGCAAGTCTAGTTAACCCAATCCTAGCTTAATAAATTTTGGACCAGGTCAGAAACTTGTAAAATAAACTTTGGTTATGTTGGGGTTGCCAGACGACGAATTCATCCAACAAAAGGTAAATCGTATAGATGATGGCATTCAAGAATTCTTTTTTTCTTTAGTTATTGAAAAATGACTCAGAAGGGTACTGAAACATTATTATTAGAGCCAATATCACGTTCCTTCGATGTTTGTCCGGTGGCCAATACCTTAAAATAGTGTAATTGACTTACATTAGCATGATTTGAAAAATAGAGTCAGCTGAATCATAGCAATTATGAGCCTAAACAACAGGACAATTCAGGCGATGCTAATTAGATTCTAGCATTCACCAAACTGATAATTATGATATACAGCAATTTTTGCAGTTAGAATTCAGCATCCAGCAGCTCCTAATGCTGCACTCCGGTGAGAATGAGCTATTCACAATATCGTGACCAGGCTAAAAAAAAGACCTTGGACTTTTTGTAACTTAGAAGGGAAGAAAAATTGAAAATTAAGGTGGACAATAAAAACCAGCATAGAATAATGTATAACCAAGTTGAATGCAGCATCTTGCACATCACTCCAATATAGATCATGTTCCATAGTAGTCACCAATGTTCTCAACAAGATAGTCATATGGCGCAGCTAACCCATACTCGTATGTTCCATTTAGTGGAGCCACTCTGTGTGAAGCTAAATAGACACCACCTATGCCAACTTTGGTATTAATTTTGGCTCTGCCTTTGGCAGCCCTTTTGTTGTCAGGTGGAAACTCAGCAGAGAGCCTTCCCATCTGCTTCTGCAGATCAGCAACTGAATCATTTGTTACCTTTGCCTTGGAGTTCTTCTTCCCATCAACAAGCTTTAGTTCCAATCGGTATAATGCACATGCATCACACTTATTAATCTCATATTCATAAAGGTGCCACTCGAAATGGTTCAGTGGTTGTGGATCCATATAATAGGATCTCTTCAGCCCTCCAAATTCATTCATCACTTGCTTTCTAGATTCATGCCAACCGCGTCCACTATAATCTGGCAATGACCTCTGCTTTCTGTTTCCACTCTCAAATGCTCTCCGAGGCTTATCGAAGAAGAGCCACTCCCTAATAGTCTCACCCTCAAGAACAGACAAATCGAAGAGATCTGCAATCAAATAAGTGAATTAATTAAAGAACATTCTTGTCAACCATTGTAGCAGATACTTCTCTCAAACAATAGCCTAACACAAAAACCGAATAGAAGATACTTAAAAGATCAAATTACCAGGTGCATTCCATGGAGACTTTGCTGTTGCTGCTCCCTCACATTCTGGGATGCCAACATCTTTACCTTGTGCCTTTGCACTAAGAGCAGCAAAAAGTAAATTATCCTTCAAACCAATTCCCCCAGGTCGTAGAACTGGGGCCATCCCTGGTGGCCCTTCATTCAAAGCTAGACCAGCATGAAAGCTACTGCAATAGTCTTGACACCAGGACAGCCCTTGTGCAGGCCTTGGGCAGTCCCAAAGTGCACATTTTGGGCCCAAGAAGGCAGAAGGAGGAGGGCAGATACTAGGTAGATAGCTAGATATATGAGGAATGCCACCCTCCTCACAGTAACCTGTACCATTAAAACCAGTATAAAAGCTGTGATCAAAGTCCTGATGCAAATCAAACTGATGATATTCTAAAGCATGCCCATCCGGGTTGTTAGCTGCCACAGTTTGAACACTTGAGGTGGACTGTTTGCACTCATCAACCAATGGGAAATCATGTTGCTGTTGGCCCTGATTTACAGTTAAACCGGGAAACTTATTACAATTACAGGTGAAATCCAATATTGAAACCAGATTGGTATTTAAATACTAAAAATACAATGTGTAAAAACAGACAATGCACTTATGAAAAATAAGTCAATCGTTAAAAGCAATGGCTTAACCATCAGAGCCTCTCTCTTCTTTTCTATCTTTTAAATAAGATTACAAAAAGAACATTAAGAAAAACTAGCCCACATGCCATAGAACATAACCATCAATTAGGTTAGGTAATGTCATCAGATCCAAAACAGTACACTTATACATGGTTCAGTCACAAAGGTGATTAATCTGAGACACTCCAACATCTTGTGATATAGATGGCAAGAAATCCATATATTACAAAAAATGTATATATTAGTATATTACCAAGAGATGTATGTTGTGCACAAAAATTATGCTCTAAATATTGACCCAGATTAGACAGTTAAACCAGGAACTCATTCAATATCTATAACACTCATAAATTACATAATCAAATGACCAATACTCTCCAACAAATACTTTGATAAGCACACCACTACACCTATCAACTGCTCTCATGCTACATGGGTGTTCCCCTCTGCCCAGGTTTGAGTTCCAACCCTGCAAACACCATATATAAACCCTCCCCCCCTCCCCCCACAAAAAAAAAAGTACAACCATGATAAACCACCCTACCCATTATATACATATGAATAAGAAGACCGTTTTTTAAAATAAATCAAAATGTGTTGTCAATTATATCAATCATTAAAAATAATATAATATATATTTTCTCCAAATGCTCTTCTCTCTAACTTCTAAAACCTAGCAAGAAAGACCCCTATTTTTTTTCAGACACCACTTCTATCTCTTCTCTTTTCAGTCACTATCCATCTCAGATCCAAAATCTGAGCTACATCTCACATTCTACCACTCACCAACCCCACCACTGGTGACAGATCATATTGAACTATTAGAAGCTCTCTATCCATGGAGCAGCCACATACCCCCACAAGCCCTAATTGCAGACAATGTTACCAATGGCAGATGGTGGGTCAAGGTGGACAGCCAAAAAAACTGCCATAAAATTATGGCACATTATGACATAGCAGAAGCATGGCAATCATAATAAAATAGTATAGTATATATATTATTTCTACAATAATATTAAAAAAAAAAAAAAAAAAAAACACTACAGGTCCCAGTTTTCTCGGCTGTTTGTATAAAAGTATAATACCATGGCTGGAAAATGATGGAAAAGAGGATACAGCCTTTGGAGAAGATGCAGACTGAGTGAGAAACAGAGCACTAATTGAAGAATAAAAACAGAGCACCAAAAGAAGTAAAATAGATGCAGAGAGAGTGACAAATAGAGCACGTTTGAAGCAGAAAAACAGAGCATAGAGAAGCAAAATGGAAAATAGATGCAAAAAACAGGTCCCTCCATTCACAGTCCCTAGAAAACAGCAAGAAAGTATGTCTTCTCCAGCAAAAATGGTGAAGTTGGCTTCAGAGAGAAGGAAGAAAAAAAAAGCACGAGAGAGAGAATAGGTATAGTACCGTGTAGAAGGATGCTTGCTCAAGAAAGAGAAGGAAAAAATTTTAAGTGGGACAGAAAGTCCATTTTGCCCTTAAAAAAGGCCCAAATGACACTGGTGCAGGACAGAAAATTTGTCTGCGATTAGGGCTCAACCTCCACCACAGAAAAACATTCCATGACAGCAAGTATTTCAGTCACTTTGGACTAGGTCCAGTTAGAGGACCACTTCATTTTTTCCCTCAAAAACTAACATTTTCCACCATGGCCGCTGTTTCTTCCATGGCCATGAGGCACCTATAGGTGGCCATGGCACCACCATTGTAAATCCGCCATTTTTCGCCATGGGTGCTTTGGGCAAAAACCGCCACCAACATCTGCCATGGCTGTTATTTGACAACACTGACTGCAGGTTTGCTGTGTCAATCCATCTGTACAGCAAGTGATGGCAAATCTAAAGTCTGAGTCCAATTCCAGCTACTATCTTCAGTTCTTCACTGGCAAGATTTTGGCCAGCCACAACCATCACCACCTTAATCAATCATCACACAGTAGCTGTTTGCTTGATACCTCTCCAAGATTTGTACCACCAAAATCACAGAAGTGGGATTCATGTGATTCTGCCATGATTACATTAATTCAACATGCAATTCCAATGACAAGATGATACTCCATGTGATCCATACCAAACCCAGAAAATTACAAGAATCAAATTGCAATTCATGATTCCAATAATAGTGTTAAGGATAGCCAAGAAAAAGTTATGTGCAAATGCCAACATACCATTAAGTACTGTATATTGTATGTACTATAACAATGAAAAGATATAGTGTCATGTTTTTATCTGTTTGAATGTAAATTCACGTGACTTCTATATAAATAATAGATATGATTCAATTGCCAAGAAAGGAGAAACAAGCTAAAAAGATAATTAAACATATATAATCATCCAATCCAAATATAACAGGGAAAGATAGTCTTTGTTATGCACACTTAGAACTTCAGGACTAAAACAACCACATGTCGTGTTAAGTAGAAAAAAATGATAAATAAAATCTATTATATTGCCATTGGTCAGGATTGGAAAGACAAAAAATCACAGGATAATATTTATCAACTTTCATTTGATGATATCAACCTTTCCTGAAGCATCATTGATTACATGCAAAGTTAAGGTAACGCACTGAATAAAAACAGAGAACTTCAAAATCATACTTAAACAACTAACACCAGACAGACCTGCAAAATTATTATGGCCAAAAATAGATTGATTAATCCTCAAAAGGGAAAATGCCACTCACCTCTTGGAACATGACCCCAGCCTGCAGAGTCTGATCATTAGGTTCAGGCTTAGGAGCAGCCAATGGACTAGAGGCGTCATCTTCCTCCTCACAAAGTTGCAATAGCCGACAGATGTCGGTGGAGAATGACCCAAGGCTGCCACCCTATATTCACCCATAAACATAACAGTTCACAATCACAGCTTTACCACTAAAACTGCCATTCAAATTCAAACAGGTCATCACAATTAGAAAAATACAGGTTAGTAACAAGCACCCATGAACCATTATAGATATCTCAAATCCTAAACGAAGTTCACTAGTTACTGCTTAAGAATATGTTACCCTCATAAACATGATCTTACTTGCTGCAACGATGAAGCAGGCGAGGGCTCGTTGAGCTCAGCCTTCCACTCGCGAAGCATTTGATGGACTTGTTCCTCAAGCACTGCAGCATCAACCGTACGGCTCTCCTTCCTTGCAAACTGCAGATCCAGGAACATCAGCTGCAGGTCGTCCACACGGTTCTTTGCCTTGTCCTTAAAGAGCTTGTGTGATGCAGACTTGCAGCTGCTCTTAGGAACCTTCTTCATTGCTAAACCTGAAGTTCTGCCTACAAAACCCTACACTCACTAATATCACAAACTGAGTTGCAGTCCACCACAAAAATACAACCTACCAAAAAATAGAGACAAAACTCAAAAGATACACACAGCTTGCAGGTAATGTTATCATGATCAGAAGCATACTCCAGCATCACACCCTAAAAGAGGCCATAAATTCTAACACAGAATCCAACAACCCCACCTGAGAGGTGAGTTAAATTTAAATTATATTAAAAGATTCGCTCCATTTTCAACCAATTGAAAAAAGAAAAAAAAAGCATGGGCCGAAACACAAACTGATTTTCCTTATGATAAAAAAAAACCCTAAATATAGATCGAAACTATCAAAATTTATTTAAAATTTATCATAAAAAGAACTAAACCCAAAACCTCAAAAATATAAAAATCAAAGAGAACAAAGAATTAAGCATAAAAAGAAACCCCAATTCCGAAGAAAACGATAATAACAGCTCGAGGGAACACCAAAGCTGAACCGACCCAAGTCAATATTCAGTAAGAAATCGAAAACCCAAAACGTGAATCGGATGGAAAAATAGGGAAACGCAAGGAACAGTAAAGAAATTATGTGGATCGATTGAAAGGTGTGATTTTTGCATAGGGGGTGAAAACAGAGGAACGACGGTTACCTCAGATTCTGCGATAATCACTTTCCCAAGAAAAAAATGTTGGTGTGATTTTTGAGCTGGAAAAGAAAGGATTCAGTTTCCTCTCTCTGTCTCTTCCAAAAATTGAGAAGGTGAGGAAACTGATATAAAGGAAAGGAAATGAGAGAGAGTGAAAAAGAAAACTGCTTTTTGTGTGGGTGACTTTCTCTCCCTCCCTTCCCTTGCCTGCTCATTCCTCAAGCAATAAAGCAAATGTCTTACCCTGAAAAATTAATATTAGCAACAAGATAATAATAATAAAAAAAAAATTAGCAGAGTAATAATGAGTAAAGTTATAATAAATTATGAATATATTAGATAAAAGGAACTAAAAGTTGTGAGTTGTTATTTACCTAGTTGAAAATTTATAATTGTATAAATAATTTAAACAATTTTATAATATTATATTAACATAATATTAAATAATTTTAAAAATATATAATATTATACTAACATACTATTAAAATAATTATTATTTATTTTATTTATTTATGATTAATTAATTAAATAATTATATATAAATATATATATATATATATATATATGTATTGAAATATATGAAATACGTTTGTAAAGAAGTAATAGAAGAGCATATAAAAAATAAAAAAATAAAATGAATGAGATTGTTATTAATGTAAAGAAAATAAAGATAATAAAATTGACATATATACATCAAGTTTTAATTATAAGATATTTTTTTCAAAAAATTAAAAAATAAAAATGTAATAGAAATTCTGAGATAAAAATTTTTTATATGCTTTTTTATTGTTTAAATTTATAAAATCTGATATTATATACGATATTATTTATTATTTTTTTATCTTTCATTTTTTATACAAGTATCCTAAAATTGTATTTTAAAACACTAAGGGTTGTTTAGTTTCTAAAAGAATTTTTTTATTTTTAATTACAAAAATGTCACTTTATTTTTATTATATTTTTTGTTTTCAATTATTTATTAAAAAAATTAAAATAATAAATAGAATAAAAAGTATCTAACATATTTATAATTAAAATAAAAACTAAAAACGAAATTTTCCTAAAACAAAGCAACCCCTAGACATGTTTCAAAAAAATATTATTAATGTATTTACATAAAAAAAATTATATAATTTATTACAAGTTATAATAATCTTTATTAAACTTTAACAATATTTTTAAAATCATACTTAATAAGACTCATTAAGTTATTATATTATTCTCACTTTGTCAAAAATAAAATATAAAATTCTATTAAGGAACGCTCAAAAAAATTAAATAAAGAATTAATAAGTATAATTATTTTGCTAAAAGTTATGTTAAAATATTTAATAATATTAAATATTATACTTTTATCCAAACATTTTTTATTTTAAATTTATTACTCAGAGTCCATATTGGTTTACTTCACTTAGTTTTTTTCTCTTTTTTCCTTATAACATTTTTACTGAATACACACTAATTGATGTAAATTAATTGTTATTTAAATACAGTAATTTCTCACACGGAGTTATCAGTATAATTTTATAACAACTTTGACCGTTGAGGCAAATATAATTGAATTTGATTTAATTTTGAATTATATACTTTTTTATAATTATTAATATTGTATATTTTCTTGGTAATAATTTACCATATAATGAATTTTTTTAATTGCCATTATTTAAAGATTAGGAAATTTACATGTTTTGAAATTTAGTAATAGAGATAAAAACATTATTTGTTATTGCAAATGTGCAAGTTTAACGTTACTGAAAAAGGGTAAATATATAAAATTTTATAATTTACAGGTGTGTGTGTGTGTGTGGGTGTGTGATGCTTGACGACTACTCCAAATGCTTTCTTGGTTTTCACTTTCCAATATAGACCACACACTTCACCAAAAATGCTTTTTTAAATGAGCCTTCTTCATGTGCGTGTATGTTACATATTTATAATCTCAACACAGGGAAATCAATAAGTGGAATTTATTTGCTTTATTTTCTTGCTATTTGATCTTTTTCACAGTCAGTGATGAAGATAGTTGTGAAAGTACACGCTGAACCTTTTTCCAAAACATTCTGAACTATTATTTTTAGGATGTAATTGACTTGATGCTTTTCTGAAGTTCCACTGTTTCCTATTGAAACCGTTGCTTGTCTTTGGTTTTTTTTGTGTCAGATTGTCTTGTTATCCAAAATAAGCCAACTCGCTGAAAATAATAGGTTGATAGAAATGGCCCTTCCCACGACCCAAAAAAGAAAATGAAATGAACCTTCTGGGCATGATTCAAAATATGCATGCATACATTATTTGGCAATGCATGCCATATGCTACACGATGTGCTTTTAGGAAATTGATGTTGGGTGATATTTTTCACTTAGTTGAAGTCAATTATAAAAAAAAATACAGAAGATTGAAAGTGTTATCTAACTGTGTAATAAGCGTGTGAATATGTAAGCATGGATATACTACGCATGTTAACAATGTTTGGGTAATAGCTGATAATTACGGGAAAAGCATGTTAACAATGGACAACTCATTTTTGCCAGCAAAATTTAAAGTATCGTCACTCACTTTTTGGGTATCAACGTCAGAGCTATGACGGTCGATAATAGATTAATGGAAGAATAAAAATGTTAAAGCTTCTTCTTCAATGTTGATTTTGGTCAAACAATTTTAAAAAACAATAAAAGGAGGGTTTTTTTTTTCTCATTTTCCATGTTATCTTTTTCCGAAATTTCCCATTTGCTTTACATAATATAGAGTGAAGGAGACCACTGGCCAAAAAGGGAGAAGAAAAATCTAACAGGAGTATAGAACCCGATGAACAATGAAACAAAAGGAAAAGAAAAAGCGATTCCTTTTTCTCATGCTAAACATGACAAACCAAAATGAAATTCTATTAAGTGAATAGATGAAATATAATCAGGGTAAGGAAGGAATAAAGTACCCTTCCACTACCATCCAACATATTCCCGTTTTGATGCTTATGTTTAGAGCTTTAAAGGAGGTTGATTAATGGATACGATCCTTGTTTAAGATTACTAGAGCATCTCATGGCATGCTCTATCATTCAGACCAGTCATATGGATACCCCTTACCCTTACCCAGTACTATTTTCCGAAGGAAAACTTAAAAAAGGGTTGATTGGTGTGGTCTTAACTTGGTAATAACAAATAAGTACCCGTAATTGAGGATCAAATCAAATGCGTGGCGGTGGATACCTGAAAATGTCACACCAAACTAGAGATCTAATCACATGAATTGGTTCATTTCAATTTCTAGTGTTTTGGGCTAAAATGAAGACCATCATTCAAACTAAATATTCCATGTAAAGTTATTTTGGGGATAGAAATGATGAAATGAAACCAAAAAAAAATAAATTATTTATTATTGTTTGATTTGTTTAAAATGAAATAAAATAATATCTGAAGTATTTATTTTTTTTCTTCCCATCTTAGAGTATGATGTGTAATGAAGTAATTCGATTTATTATGCATTACTTTTTTTATCATTTTATTTTCTTATTAAATAATAAAATAAAAAAAACTCTATTCCGTTGGATTATAGAATATAAACAAGTAAGAATCAATAAAATAAAATGTCAAGAGTCGCTCGCATGAGGATCCAAAAAAAAGTAAGGAAACCTTCCAAATTAAGAAACACTTTGAAAATTGTAAGTTATATAAGTATGTGTAATATATTAATTAAAAGTTCTGTTATTACTTAAGAACTAATTATCATGTTCGTGTATTTCACGTGCTTATTTTTATTTTAAAAAATTAATTTAAATGTTTAAAATATGCTAAATAAAATTATTATAAAAAATTGATAAATTTTAATTTAATGATTTTTATGAAAGTTTCACTACTTATGATTTTATTAGAAGACAAAAATTTCCCAATATCCTGTAAGTATACCATTTTAAAAAAATGGAAAATTATTAGAAAATATAATAAATATGTATTCTCTCTGTGTGTATACAGCCTTGCAAGTGGTGGAGCAGATAAAAAACTTAAATTTATTCTATCTCACAAAAGTGACGTCCAAACTTAACAAAACCTGGATTTTTAAAGTTTTTTTTTTCAGATTTAACTTGCATCAATTTTAATCGAATAGAGCTAAAACAAATATTATAAATTAAATACATCTAAAATAGTTCACACAGTTTAATCATAATTATATATCTAAAAATGATCCTTAATATTTTTTTAATTATTTACAAATAAATATATAGTCACTTTTCATGACTTTTTGATAGAATTTTAAAAATTAAAAACATTTAAGTTTCCTTTTAATAAGGTAAGTTTCTATAACTCACAAGTATTTTACTTTTAAAAAATTATGATAAAATTTTTAATAAATTTTTCACTTCTAATTTCATAAAATTATTAGTCAGCAAGATCCTTAATTATATTATTTCAGTTTATTGCACATTTTAAATGCTTTAAAATTGTGTAACAGTTATATAATTTTACATATTTCTTACTTATATTTTTAGTTACTGTCAATAATTAGGATTTTAGTTTTAAAAGTTTATAATAATTATATAGTAATTTACATTATATAACAGTTATATAACTTTTTCACTTGATATATCCAACACAAGGATTAAGTTGCTCTAAATATAACTATTGTCAAAGATATTTTATTCAATAACTTTTTTTATAAATGTTAAATCTCTTATCAATTCATTTATTGGGATTGAATTTTAAAAAAATAGATTTAAATGTAAAAAAATTTATGCAACTCAAGAAATTAATTGAGAAAAATTCATCTCCAACTTTATTTTAATTTATAACGTATTTATTAAAATATGTGTTTTAATATAAATTATATATTTATGAATTAGTTTGTCTAAAATTGAGTATACATTCATCATATTAATATTATATATTTAATAATTAAATTTATTAAATTTATATTTTAAAATATTAAACTAGAAACTAAATCTTTTTTATACACGCCGCTAAAAGAACTATTAAAAATTATAATTAGAAAAACACAAAATATACATTTAAATTAATAGTTGAAATTTTTTAAATATTTTAAAAATTAAATAATATTTATATTTTTTTAAATAAATTACTAACCATTACTATCTATTATATATATTTAGTATAAAATAAACAATAATAAATATTTTACATATAATATGGCATCAAATATTCTTTTAATTTATAAGACACTATATAAAATATAAAATAATAATAGTAGTAATAATAATAATCATAATCAACGTTAC